CACAAATAGTAGGTCATTCGGAAAGTCTTTTCGCTTTTTGCGCTTCTAAGGTTGATGCACTGTTTTGAAAGAGTGCCAAAAGGCTGATAGGGGTTGCTATATATGCATCTGTAGAAGAAGCCCTCTAGTTTCTGAGGATCCCACCAAGCTTGCAAGATTCGCTTTGTACGGGAGTTTATCTTATGTATAAAGCTAAATGTGTGTTTGTCTGTATGTACAAACACAATATGTCTGTATGTCTGTGTGTACGTATGTTCCGAACAGAAATTTTGATTTTGAACCGATCCGTACCAAACTTGGCACACATACACTTCGGGGCGGGGCGGATGTCGTAGGCTACTTTTCGTCATCGCTCGATATCGATCTTTTCGATTTTTATCGATTTTTTGTAAAATTTGACCTGCGGGGCTGGGAGTTGGCACAGGGGATAATTGAGCATGCTGGTAACTAACACAGCGGAAATAGGGAGTTGGAGCTGGTATGTAGAAGTGGGCACAGGGAAAGGTTGTACAGGGATAAATGGGAGCTTTATAACAGTGTTTTGACATGGCGGAGCCGGGTAAGCCAGCTATTGCACCTATAAACTCGACATGTAAAAACGAGACTTTCGAATAATTGCATTCCCTAAGCTGAAACTTATATGTAAAGTAGATGAAGGAGCCATTATTGTTACGCAGCGTAATTGGCAATGCTACATCTTTCTCAGTATTAATGCAAGATCGCTTTATAAAGTTCAGATCTAGAGAAGTGAAGGCTAATGTTTTGCAAGACTCTGGGAGATGTTGCTGCTAGATAGGCGAGAATCTCAGAGGGTGCTCAGTCTCCTCAATCTCAGAAGCAAAGCGCAAATATAGCTGCATAAAATTATGAGCAGGCCTTAAAGTGTCACGTAACTTTATTAGAAGCCAGCTTTGCAGAAGCTGTAAAACCAAAAAATTCCAGCAAGTGTATATCCCCACAAATTGTCACATTCGCAGAATGAGGGCGCAATGAATCTGTTTCCTTGCTCATAATTTGATAGAGCAATCCCTTTTTGAGGTATACACTGTAAAAAATGGATTAAATACGCCCACAAGAAGCGACACTATGTTAAATCATATGGAACAAACATTGGCATGACCATGGATTATCACTTGCTCAAAAGGGTGATGAACTCAAATCACTGTAATGATGGTTTTTTTGTACGCTATAAACTTGCTAAAATGTCTTTGTTCAGTCAGAGCAGAGTAGTACGATATCGTTCTAAATATCTTTGTCAAAATTTCAAAACTGAGCAGATTTGCACATAGAACTATGCGAGGCAACATCTTCGCACATGATGCCGCTCAAAAAAATGTAAGAAAGGTGGCTCCCACAAAAGGGATAACTGCGCACCGAAGTTCCTGTCCATATTTCGAACTCTTCAGACCTTCCTTTACCAATCACCAACTTTAGTAGTTCCGCGCTGCCCATTCAAAAATAATAGGGCCCAGAGAAAGTTAGCTAGTCGAAAACGCCTTTTTAGGTTCTAATGATTTTGCTGAGATTATTTCGCAAGGTAAAAGCCCATAGCCTTAAAGGACCGGGCATACTTCACGCGATTTCAGTCGCGACGCGATTTGGCAATTCGCCAAAAATCTTTAAATCCAACGCTAGCAAACTGCACATGCATAATGTGTACAATTTGTGTGGACTGATATAATGCCCTATCTTCTGTGCATTTAAAATGTGCTCACAATGAGTTATGGATAGTTGGATTATTGCCAAATCGCGCCGCGACTGAAATCGCGTGAAGTGTGCCCGGCCCTTAAAGCGTAGCCAAAAATGCTGAACAAAATGAAGTTTATTTGGTGAAAAAGGCATGGATCTAGAAAAAGATGTGCTTGTTCAAATTTGATGGTGCGAAAACGAAAAAACTTTCCGAATGACCCAATAAAAGATTCTGTGGGAACCTCTGCGAAGCAGGGTGATGCACTGGTTAACAACAACTCAAAATAATAACAGATACATACGATGGAGTGGATTTGGGGGCAGCTACATAAGTAGACAAGCGGCAAAGGTACTCCTCTCCCTCATTCTGACTCTTTCCTGACTGAGTAGTTTGCGTGCCGAATTGCTAAAAGCGATCAAAATGTTCTAGCAAACGCGTTGGAATGTCCTGGTTTCATGACAGAGGGTGCACCTGAGAATCAGAAAGTCTTCTAAATCACTTTCAAAACCAATTTTCACGTATCGACCATGATAGATCCTCTGCTATATGTCTCATAAATAAAAAAAATGTTTTTCTAATAGAAGGTTTTGCATGTCTGGAGTCTCTCAATCAATTTTGAACATAAAGCCTGCTCGCACGCAGGTAGTTTTCGCAAACATATTTTCGTACTTCTTAAAAGAGCAGATTCTTATAAATGCAAGTAGGACTATGTGATACTGCAAAGTGTGCTCTACACTCTCAAGTTGAGATGATTCAAAAAGTTTTGAGTTCATTCGGTTGCAGAGCAAAATGAAGTTACAGAAATCTCGTTTTCGGTTTCTTTGAACTTGCTAATCTGATGTTTTTGATTCTCACATTCTTGAAAAAACTCTTTTCGAATTCTGTAAGCCTCTAGTAGAGCTTGATTAGGGCATTATATTGCATTGATTCGAGCTTATACTTCTCTGTGCTTTTTTCGTGGCAGTGCTTCAGTTGGCGCTGGTGATTGCGCATCCTGTAGACAAGTACGAGACGCGCCCGTTTTTCTCTAAGGCACCAGCCTGAACACACCATTTCGCAACCAAAAAGACTTTCTGACGCGCTGATCCTTACCTAGGAGAATTATATGAGAGAACGACCATCTTGCGAGGCACAGTGGTGCGACCGAGCTGCTTGCTCGAAAAAAGGTGCTTTCTGTACTCTGAAACTAGGGTAAACTAGTTTTAGAGTACAGGAAGCATAGCTTACACAGTACATAGCTTATGGGTTGCGTGCACATACAATAGTTGGTTATCGTCATCTCAATAGAACTACAGTTAGATTTAGCAGCACTTGAGAGACCATCGCTTTTAATTCTCTAAAAGTTAGCCATATCACAAAAAGTTTCTGACTCGTGAGAGTGTAACAATAATGGCACACGTAACTTATCAAGCACGTACTGGAGCAGATGTTGCGGCTCTAGTACGCTGATGGCGTCGTGATTCATAAGTGCGTAGCTCCAGATGTTTCATGCCTCATTCTAGTGCTGGATTTTATCCGTCTAGGCTCCACAAGCTTCATAGTCATAACGCTCCGCATGTCTTTCACGCGATAAATTTGAACTAAACACCGTATCTAAAAGAGTAGTGATTACATATGCTGCATAGTGGTGCGAAAGATAGCTACGATATATTCTGACTGGTTTTTTGAAGCGCTTGTATATAAACTAAATTTAAATTTGGCACAATTTGAATTTGTTAATTTTAATTTTTAATTTTAATTTTTTAATTTTATTAATTTTTTAATAAATTTTAAATTTGGCACAAAATACCTTGTCAGTATAAACTAAATTTTTTTCCAAAGCTTACCCGCGCAATACTCTACAATAAGCCATTAAGTACAAATTCTAAAGTTTAACTGCACATGAGTTGTCTCGTAGTTTCTACCTTTTTCATTATTTCCATCTAATTTTCCCCTTGTTCTCCAAAGAGGTTTGCGGTATAGCAAATCAGCTCTACAAGGCAGAGGCTGAGACATTTGTCCAGAGTGTGTTCCACCCAAGGTCAGAAGCCAAAATCTAAAAAGACCTCGAAAAATGGAGAACAAAGTGATATTTCGGTTAGAAAAATCTTGTGCACCTCTAGCATGCTAACGATTATTCTTTCCATATTGGAACATGTATGCATATTTGCTTTGCTATTTATTTTCTACGTTAAAATAGGCCAGAAATTCGAAATTGGACAGAACAAAACAAGCATTTGTAGAAGGCTGAAATTTAATGATTATAGCACAAAGGTCCGTGTACAGCTCAGTACAGTTTTGAAAAAAAACATGAGTGTATAGTATTAGAGAGTTACGCTGAGCAAGCAGGAAGTCCGAAGATTTCGATGGACGGAGATGCTATTTTTATCTGACTTTTCGTTCGTTCAGATGTCTTTAGCTTTTGGCTTCTCGAGTGAAACAAGAATTGCGTAAACGTTTGGTTATTTTGTAGACCCTGTTTCGCTTATCGAATAGTACTCTGAACTTTATCAGAGAGTAAATGGATATGACTTACTGTCGAATATTGAAAACGCTGAGAAGTAAAGAGATAAACTAACCCCTTCAGCGCCTTGTGCGTGATTTATTGGTTTTGCAGATTTTTTCATGCAAAAATCAGTATCAACATCAATTTATGCATATAAAGAACAAATAAGCTATTTGTGCCTTCTATATTGAGTAAATGGTTTTCTGATCTCTGGTTCCACATAGTACAGCATTTATTGTATTCGCAAAGCATGTTGAAGATTCCCAAATATGTTTGAAGTTATCGCGGGTTGGAACTTTCTCAGTGAGAGGTAATAGGACAGAAGTGATCATGCTCAATATGTTGTCACACTCTAACGAGATACAGTTGCCTGTGATATTTGCGAAAGTGTTAGGTAAACTCTTTGGACACAATGTCTCACGATTGTTCGCGACTCTTGTCAGTTTTGTCTGCTGGAATCATTGTAATGCTGCAAATGGGTAACCCACATGTTCAGATTTCTGGTTCGAACCAAACTTCCTTTGCCTTCACTTTATCCATCGAGAAGACCTGTAAATAAATGCTCAGCGCTAAAGAGCCAACTTTTTTGGCTGAAAATTCTGCTGGCAGACACTACAGATCTGTCAAGTATTCAGATTAAGATATACATTTATCAACGTGCGAATGAGAGCATTTGTAATGATTAAACGTCCATTATGCTTAGATCCAGTGCATTCCGCGCCGTAATGTCATTGGGACTTTACAATTCTCGCGCAAGGTAGATGTCACAGTGTAGCACTCATTCATTCAATCTCGAGCCGTTCGTCTCATTTCAAAGCCACCACAATGGCACCCCGATCAGATGATTCAGAATCTCCAATGATTATTCGAAAATGGCACAAACCAAGCCACACCGTTACTCTTGCCTGCACAGTTGCTTCAGGTATGCTCCAGTTAAAACTACGTGTTTCAGTAGCATTTCTAACGATATCTTGGATTGCAATGATATCTCTATTTTAAGTTGTTCTGAAAGTTTCGTCCATATTTTCGAACAACTGTGAAGTATAATAAGGATCTATTACCGCCTTTAGAAGCGCATTCTATTGAGTTTTTCCTTCTCTATCTGATGGCCCTCCTCCAGACCATAACCTTCTGAATGTCTCTTGATAACTGTCAAGATTCTTCACCTGTTATCTGCTCAACGTTTAGCTAATTTTCAGAAAATTTACTCTAAATTTTTGGAGAAGAGCAAATATACTAAACTTCTTAGAGGAACGGATCTATCTTTTGTTAGTTTTTAGATCCATGCTATCTACTGTTTGGAGCTCTAAAAAATGATAATTTTGAGAACTTACTTCTTGGTGACATATGACACACAACTGCAAAAAACATGAAAATTCCACACTTTCAGCTAAATAGAACTTGACTGTCATACAACATTAGTTGTGCAAAATAATCAAGTTTGTTTTGCTTCAAAGAGCCAAATTCTTAAAATTTTCGGTATAACCATGCGCTAATTGTGCTCAAGAAGCTGGCTTTTTCCCAAGTAGAACATTATCAGAATTTCGAAAACCTGGGCCAATCTATGTCCGAATGTTACACTACATAACAGCTACCAGCGCTCTTTGAATTACTATGGTAAAAATTTTTAGTTGGTTCTCAAGTTTGGCGCTCTTGTCAGACTGCTGAGAAAGCTGTGACAATGACATCGCAAAGCCTGCATAAATCGGAGAGATTCTATCTTTCAGAAAGAGGATACTGAATCGAGTGTTACCTAAACCAATGTCGGTCTCTGCGAGTCTTGGTGATCAAAAAAGGAATGAAATAATTTTTGGGACAGACAAGAAATAATGCAAGAAGATTCAGTATAGACATCGAAACTCTGTGCGCGAGAGGGTATCCAAAGACATCTTTACCAGCTAAATTCAACATTTGTTTTTCACAGTGAGCTAATCTTGATTCGTATTCTCCTACGCTAATGACTGCAGCCTGTTACTAAAATGAATAGATAAGAGCATACCTTCCGTTTACACATCTACGTAGCCTTAACAAATCCGCTTTTTACTATCATGTTGTTCTTGTATAAAATAGGCAGGTACGACCCAACTTTTAAAAATCAAAATAATGATCTTTGGTAAGATTGCTGAATACCTTACTTTTTGTGAACATCTGAATAGATCAAAGCAAATATAAAATTAGTTCCACTATGTAGGTACAATTCTATTCCCAAGTAAACTCTACTATATTTGTCGCTTTTGAATACATTTTAATGTTTCGAAGCTCACTCTAATACAAAGAATCTACACCAGAAGGAAATTGAAGTGGAAGTTGGAGGAAAAGAGGATAAAATGAATTGCTTTTTGCTATTCGCCGATTTTCGCATTTATAACTCTCGTCACGAGCTGATCCCCATCAATTTTTTAAGTTCTCTAAGGCTGTTGTCTCAGAATAAATGAGCTGAATATAATAGTAAATTTAAAAACAATCAAAAAAGCATTGATAACATCGAAATTTTTATTTCAGTAGAAGGAAGAGCTCCTCTGGTCGCTTTTGGTGGAATTATTGATGGAGAATGGCAGATGTTGTTGAACAAGCATGGAATGCATCAAAGGGCACGGAATAATTTGTTCAAAGTGAGCTACTCAAATTGAATTAGATAAACATCGTGAGAAAGTCGGAATTTGGAGACTCTCTAAACTTTGCGGATAAGTCCCCTTATCAGAAACTTGGATTGCAGAATGTTGCTTTTTATCTCCTCGTTGGCATCGCAACAAGGCAATCCCAGAAATATGTGTGGGATACCATTGATAGACCATAACAATTTCTAAAAAACTACAATATGACATTATTTCCTTTGCACGCTTATATCCAAGTGAAGTTCGAAGACGGAATCTGAAAAGCTTCAAACGTCCAAAAAATTCAAAAAATTCGTACCTCCTTGTTTCGAGATGTTAAGCCCCCACCAAATTGTTACAACTTTTATTTTGGCTGACGTTTCGGCCAACTCGCCTTCGTCGGAGCCTGTAAGTGAGGAATAAATGAGATTTATCCTCCCAAATGTCTCATCAAATGCAAGGAACAGATGCAAATCGTTTCAGTTTCCAGCAACTTTGACTGAAAGTTGCTGGAAACTGAAACGATGCTGGAATCACGACCATTACTGACGAACGTATGGATAATCAGTGAGCCAGGCTCCCGGGTTGTTGCGGTTGTAGGTCAAACCCGCATAACCTCAGGAAAGCGCGAGTTCGTTAATTATTGCAGTGCATTCATCTTTTCTGTTCATTTGGGATTTTTCTAGACAAAGTCCAACGGGCTTCTAGCGTCTTGCGCCCCGCGACCTCTGCTTCTCGCGACAGAATTGACGCTGTAATATAAAATTCTGTGCCATTATGCTGCAGCATCCGATGAGTGCCTAGTGGTATAGATACTTTTGACTTTCGCATCCCATCCAAGTGCTCCTTTATCCTCGTGCACAGTGGCCTCCCCGTTTCGGCCTCCCCGTTTCTCCAATGTACTCGTGGCCGCACAATTTACAGGTTATCAGGTAGATCACGCCTGAGCGCATGCAGTCTCCCGGCCTGCTCGTTTTGCAGAGTATCGTATGCTCTGTTGTTCGAAGTTTTTTGTGAACTATCTCTCGTAGAAGACTGGAAGTCTGCTCTTGTACTTTTAAAAAGTAGTGTAGAATCACGTGCCCGGGAACGGCCCAGCATCACCTTGGCAGAAGTATAAAAATTTTTAATTTTTCGATGTCTACCGAGGAAAAATTATAGCAATTGCGCATACACATGTTTGATGAATGATGTATGTCCGTAAGCAATTTCGGGGTCCGTGGTGATTTTTTGGAAGAACATACGTTTTCTGCGGCTTTTCGACCGTTTAAAACTTTTTAGATTCGAACTTTATGATGTAAAATGGTGCAAAAGCATCAATGCCACTGTGTAGAGCTTGATTTGCTCCATTGAATGATAACCCATACATGTTTCTGGGATTTGCCTTGTTGCGATGTCATGACGAGGAAATACAAAGACCCATTTTTTTCTTCTAAACCTAGTACAAAATAGTGGAGTTTCCGAAGAAGTAAGCGATGGAACTGCAATGTCAGAAATATAGGTTGCTGGTGTCTAAAATGTAATGCATTTCGCTAATCCATGGACAAAAATCAGTAAGATTCTGGGGTATTGTTGCAAAAATATATACATTTTTGATACTGGGAGATTGTTTATGTTGATGTGGTATTTTCGGAACAAAGTTATCGAAAGAAATCAGTGTTTTGAAACATGTCCACTTTATTGCATTTTACGTCATTTCAAATATTCAGATTTATTTATGACATGCATATTTGAGGTTTCCGAAATTGTTCCATTGGCAGAAGATATAAACAGGAATACCTCCATCAAGTCCAGTTTTGGTTAGTTCAATTTACAGAGCTGATTTGAAATTCGCCTAACTCTTAAAAGACTGTTGGCCATAAAAACAGAATTTTGTGTTTTCAGACGACGTAGCCGACATAGAACTGCATGTGCACCTTATCCAGGAAGAAGCTTCTTTGAGTGTAGAGTAATCGACATTCCCACTCTTCTTCTATTTGCTTATTCTACATGTGTACAAATTTTGCCCTATTCGTAGTTTGCTTTCACTCCTCGAAGAGCGGATTCAATTATCGTCTTACTAAGTAATCGTGTTCAGTTCATATTTATTTTTGTCATGACTTCATATTTATTTCCATCATAACCATATGTATCATTGCGTCGTATAAGTTTTCTAGAGAAATTTCGTGAGAAACTGTCCACTATTATTGTTGTGTCCTAGTCTCGGACACTCTTCGAGTCCTCGATCCTCCGTCTGGGAAGGAGCAATAAAGGAATATTTCTTTATGATAAAATAAATAGACAATAAAAATAGCAGAGGCAATGAATGAACTGACAATGGCTAAAAGTGAACGCCTTTAATAGCGTTCATTTTCTGCGCGCACTGAGGCTGCAAATTGACTGCAGATTGTATGAGGAACGACGACAATCATTAACACAACAATTATGATTACCATTGAACATTAATAGCCAGATTACAGTACCCCAATCAAGAAATTATTGATAACATCATAACATCAAAAGTCAGAGGAACCATGACTGGTTATAATCATGCGAAAACTTGCATAGCAGAAGTTGATGACGACATGCTTTGCAATATAATGTCTGCAAACTTGTTCAGTCCTCTCCTTCCAGCTTTGTTTGAAGCATAATAATTCCCTTTTCAACTGAAGTTTTTCTGATAGAGGTTCATATTGGAGCAGCGAAAGGCATACCTTCGATACATAGAGCCACGTACTCTGGTGACCTTCACTTTGAGCGTCATGATAGACACAACCTTCACCTAGAGGGAAGTCATCCGGGGCGAAGCCCCGGATATCATGGCATAACTAATGACATATCCATATACATAGGGAGAGATGTGAATGAGGTAAATATAGTAGTGACATCCAAAAGAAGCTCAAAAAAGCGAAGGATTACGTTTTTATGGCCCTTTTTTGCCAAAAAGACTTTTATTCAATAATTCAATGAGGAACTGGAGCAAAATTTCTCAACTAATCTTTCTCTAGACTTCGATTGAGCGTTGGAAGTTCATGAAAGCCGCTGGAGTTCAATAGAAACGAGAAACTGCGCTCAAATCTTGCGCAGAGAGTCGCTACTTAAATGCTGGTCTATCTCGTTATGGAGTGAATTTCAAGACCCGCGACGTTGTCAGTGCTCCTGGACGTCTCATGAGGATCACAACGATATATAATGTTACAGGGTTTCGTTATGATCCCGCGGAGATCAATGACCAGAGCCAAATGCCCCGCCGGCTCTGGTCTGTCTCCGCTGCTCGTCTGCGTCTCCGCGACTTGCGCGCTACCTCGCTACCCCAAAAGCGGGGCGCGGGGCATTTGGCTCTGGTACCCTTTTCTTCGTTTTTGGGAGCCCAATTCCGACAATCTATACATCATATTAAAGCTCTTGATCTCTATTTTCACGCTGACAACGTCGCAAGACTTCTTTTTATGATTTAAACGAGAAATATAGGAGGAACGGAGTTTTCGAAAACCTCTTGTTTTTTCTTCAGTTCAACTCTTTTCACTCGGTTTTTTTTGTGTATTCGATAGGTCTTGTTTCTGTCTATAATGTGGACAACGTCGCCGAGCTTACTTCTTTGCTTATGCCGGTTTTTTTGTGAAAATTACCAAAAAGTGCGTTTTTCTTTACCTTATTCTTTTTCAATGCTTTTGCAGCGAATTTTCTCCAGCTTGGACGTTACTTGCTCAGAATGATGAGCGGAAGAATCTAGACAACGTCGCAGGATACGAAACGACCATGCGGGGGTGAAAATTTAAAGGACGCGTCAAAAATCAGATTGGCGTCGATGTGCAGCATAACTTTTCAGACTGTTTAACATGTTCAGTTTAGTTGTTGACAAGTTTGCCTTCTTTCGGTCTCCCAACTACAGCCACAGCTAACGCTTTTTTTCAATTAGAAAAGAACTTTGTTCCTGTTGCCACCCAATTTAACCGGCAATTTTGAAGACAAAAATGTGCGTAGGAAACACCAAGATAAGGTTTTAAATTAGGTGATGTGTTAGCCTCTGTTTTATATGAATTTTTCAAGTTTCCTGGTTCAATTCAGATCTCTAAATTTCCATCTATTTTCTCTAAAACAACCTTCACTTTTTATAGGGGGCAAGAACTCAAACAACTATCACTTTCTAGGCTCTGTCTCTTGACTATCGAAGGTATGGCGAAAGGTGATACTTGATTGCTCGCATTAAAAAAATTTCTTAAAAGTCTCTGATATTGCCTTAGACGAACTTGCATCTATTCTACAAAAATCTATGCTCACATCAAAGACATTGTAGCTCTCTGTCAGCAGAAAATCGTCGAATGCTTGAGAATAGAGGTTCAACAGTTTTTCTTGAGTAATATCACAGTTTGCAGTCCTCCGCAAAGCTGGGAAAAGAGGGAAATATTAATTATTTTCTACCCTCAAGCTCGCAACAAGACTAGATACTACATTCACTTGTCAGCAAAACTCTTTTGGATTTCCAAAAATTTTCGTGATTAAGTCTAAGGATAAATATAGAGGCCTGGTACAGTTATCTAGAAAACCGATGTACAGCTCCTTTCGACATTGGGAAAATCAATATTTCGAAGCCCAAGACAAATATCTGCAAAAAAAAACAGTTCACGTCTTATTCTTACAGTTTCAGTTTAATCAAGTGACTTTTTCAGTGAACGTATTTTATATAGCTCGTACCGAAAGTCAAATCGCTTTCTTTCACCGAGGACCAAATCAGTGAAGGAAAATTTATAGACGATCTAGGTTTTGTGATGCAGCCTTTCACCCTTTTTCTAATCGTTGTGGTAGCAAGCTATAGGCTGCTGCATGACGAAGGCGCAATATCTTTGGGCGCGAACGCGACTTCATTAGCCGCAGAGCGCATGAGGCGCAGTATTTACAAGGTGAGGATACGCGCGCGTCGCGTTCGCGCCCGCTCAACTCATACTGCTTCTGCGCCTTCGTCATGCAGTAGCCTTTAAGAGGATCTCTAAAACTCTCCATTTCCAGAAGGTGCTTGAACTTCAGCTGACTACAGCTACCGCACGTGAATTCAACAATTTTTCAAAAAATTGTTGTAAAACACATCTATCAAAGATTAGGGCACGCGCTATACTCAATCCACTTGATCCACTTGAGTCACTTGATCCACTCGCTATTGGTCGATCGTTTTGATAAAGTAGCGAAGTGAATCAGGTAGATCAGAGGATGCCTAACCTACAGGTAAAGCCTAGTCGCTTTTTTCGGATTAGCCTCAAAACTAGGGAGTTTATGGACTGAAGTGAGATGCAGCCACCTGTTTCTTACCCATTGCGAAATGTTAATATTAGGTTGTTACACAAGTCTTGTTACACTTTAATTTCTTACGACGATAAGTCGTGAACTTCATAATTTTAATTAGGGCTCCAGGGCACCATTCGATAGAGCAAAGCAAGCTCTACAAGATATTATGCAAAAGTTCGCACCAGCTTCGACCCACCGTAAGTTTGCATCCGAAATATGAGTTGTACTGAAGGTTGGTTCAAAAAATCCTCCGCATCTCGAACTCTTCACGCAGATTGTCCACTATATCAGACACTTATGTACCGTTCCTGTATTTTTTCCTCATCTAGAAATCGAGAAAAAAATTTTTAGTTTCAACAAAAACGAAGCTATGGTTGTTTCTATTCATGTAGTTGTATACTACAAGCTCTTACAAGCGAAGGATACTTGATGACCGTGACCTTTTGCAATGAAACGTATTCCATTAGATGCATCTTGAAGCGCTGATTCCAAATCTGCTTTCGATATCTGCTGTGCGCTCCTCCAAAAGAAGTTACAAGCATTTCTTGCTACAATAATTTGCACTGTTTTTGACGCAGGATTCACCAATATCATTAGAATGTTCGTTTACGCACTACAAAAGAGCGTCCAAATAAAGCAAAGCTTCACTTTAAGCTCAGGAAAATGTTTCCGATAAATCGGAGTCTAAAAGACCTAGATACTGACGATTCTGAGTGCGTAAATCTCGTAAAATCAATGTAGAAAAAGGTTCGTAATTTCGTTCATAAGGTCGCACAGCAGATAATGAACATAGATCTGGAATCAGCGTTTCAAGGCGCATCTACTGGTATACATATCACTGCAAAAGGCCACGGTCACTAACAAGGGAAGTTCGCCGAATCGAAATGGCCGATTGATATGTGGTATATACCCGGACGCGGGGCTCGGGAGGTTAGCATCAAATGTGCGCCCATTAGCTGCGACGCGTTATTGTGAAGCAAGTTATGGCCCTCTGAAGTTTTTGGCGTGTGCATGTCTAGAGAACGCACAACTGCTCAGATTGTGGTCGTGTGGTGTAGTGGTTAGCGTCTCGCACTCACAGGTGACCGGTGAGGGTTCGGATCCTGTTGCTGTCCACATGTTTTGCGTTCTTCTCAAAACTCATTTTTTACCTGTTTTATGCAATACTGAGGTAAAAAATGACACATACAGGTGTTTAAACACTACTAATTATACCCTGCCGTGTCATTCTCACAAGGTAGCCCATTAGCAAGAATCAATAATACGACGTGATACAACTTGGAGATAGTCACTTAAATACTACGTGCAATCGAAGATAGTATGTGGGAGTGAGGACTTCAAATCTTCAAAGTCAACTGAAAAGCCGTCGCTAAAAAGTCGTTGCTATGTTCTACGAAAATTTTACATATGAAGCATTGATCGAATTTTCGTGAGAAAAATCATCCCGTAACCCGTGTGTGTCATTTTTTACCTCATTAATACATAAAACAGGTAAAAAATGAATTTTGAGAAGAACGCAAAACATGTGGACAGCAACAGGACTCGAACCCTCACCGGTCACCTGTGAGTCCGAGACGCTAACCACTACACCACAAGACCACAATCTGATCATTTGTGCGTTCTCTAGACATGCACACGCAAAAAACTTTAGAGGGCCATAACTTGCTTCACAATAACGCGTCGCAGCTAATGGGCGCACATTTGATACTAACCTCCCGAGCCCCGCGTTTGGGTATATACCACATATCAATCGGCCATTTCGATTCGGCGAACTTCCCTTGTAAGTATCCTTCCCTTGTTAGAAGTACAATCGTAAATTTTCAGCTTTCCAGAAGCCTTAGTTTTTGTAAAATACCAAATTTAGTTTCTCTCACTCGGGTGTTCAATGCTTAATTAGGTAATTTTTGAAAACTAGGGCTTCTGGAGAGCCTAAATT